TCCCTGCGGGGAACGGGCCCGCCCGGCTTTACAGCGCGCCCTTAACGGCGAAATCGCGAAACTTCGCCGTCCTCGCTGGAGCGTCTGATCTGCTCCGAGAGCAGCCGCCTCCCTTAGTCCTTCCCAGGAGAAGCCGCCCCTCAACTGCTGCGAGCTGGGGAGTCTGCCACGGCAGAGCCGACACCCGCGGCTGCACCCGAGCACGCCCCAATGTTGCGTTTCAGTGAAGAAAAACTCCCGAAGTGGGACGAGCCTGAGGAGCGTGGTGGGGTTTTGTCTGTTTTTCTGTTTTTCCACCACCACCATCTTGCATGGGCATGTGCTGCTTATTGGCAGACACAGCGTGAGAGATAAGGGGAGGAATGTTTACGCCCAGGCTCTCAACTTGCCCCAACTGCTCCAGGACACTCGGGGTGCATCTCCATTGTTCTCAGCTGCAACCCCCTTGCAACCACCAACGCTACAACAAGCACAAACGAGGACAAACACTTGTCCCACAGTTGGCTCCTGCGTCGTCTCTCCCTGTACCCGAATTTCAGTATCGCCTCTGCTCCCACTTCAGCAGCAGCACCCGAAATTCCATGTGGCACGGGCACCAGCCCACTGAATGGGAGTATGCACAAACAAGCTCCTCAGCGATGGAAATTCATTGATAAAGGGCAAGTTTTACTTCCTTTGTGTATACTGGGGAAAATAAAAAACAATTCCCTGCTGTTGGCAGTGTTCCAGAACAGTCTGGCTAAGATGCTGCCCAAATTTAGCCCTGGCCTCTTAGCAATGCCTTTCACCTCTAATGTTTTAAAATGAGATACTTTGTGCAGATAAAGCAGAACAGGAAAATTAGAGGGATTTGTGGGAGAGGCATGATGAGAAAAATATTAATTCAACTTTAACCTGGTTGAAAAGGTAGCTAAAAAGACTGACCCAAAATCTCTTGTGGTTTTGGCTGTGTCACGGCCACTGGCTGGAGCCACACGTTACAATCCCAGTGTGCTGTGGGCACCCACCTCCCAGCCTCTCAGGTCTGACCTTGACTTTTCAAGGGTTGTTTATGGTGCATGTTACTAGGGCATTCAGGCACCTCTTGTGGCTTCCCCCTGTAAATACCAAGAGAACAAACTCTGATTTATTAATCAATTAATTAGATACAATATATTTATGGCTACCACAGGCCCACAGTAATTTGTTGTAACAAAGTGCTAGGAAGCTGCAGCAAAAAACCAAATGGATATGGTGCATCCTCAGTACTTCATGAGGAGAATCCTCTTTCTTTCTATGCAAAGATGGTAACAATTATGCAATGGCATGATCAACGTTTCCGCTGGAACTTGAATTTGTAAATAGCTGGACTATTTGTTGTCTCTTTCTTCACCTTTACTTTATGAGTTTTGTCCTGGAAAAAAGAAGAGAAAAATATTTGCTGGCATGTAAGAAGGGAAAAAAAAAAAAAACCAACCCTGCCCTCATAAATAAGAAAGTCCCTGTCTGGGACTGACATGGCATTAGTGAAAAAATGGTCACTTTCCCCTGGTTAGGTGGGAATTGTTTCCATTTGCTCTTTCCACCTTTCAGTTGTCGGACAGCCTGTTCCATTCACAGCACTAGTGAATGGTGAGTCCCAGTGACACGCAATTTTTTGGTCATTGGGATTTTCAAGATGTTCCCATAACCTATGGAATTCCCTGCCTCTGTGACTTGAAAGTATTCATTTAGTACTTGAGAGGTGGCCACAGTAGTTTAGAAAGGACATGTGAGCACCGATTCAAAGCTGGGTCTTTGCCCTTGCTGCCATGGGAAGAGAGGGACTAACAGATATGATTTACTGGCTGTGGCATAGCTGGAATGCTTCATCTCCTTGCTTTTTCCATACTGAAAGAGGATTTCTTATTTTCAGGAGTTATGTGGAAGTGTCAGTACAAAATCAGCAAAGAAACACACATAAAACTGGATCTAATAACCTTAACGAAAGAGATTCAAGGAACCAGAACTAAATCCCTCACCAAAAGATCTTTACGTGTCTGGATTTTCTGTGCCACAACAAAGAGGGCCTTTTCTCTTTCGATGCGCTGCTTCAGGAGGTCATACTGATTCTTCCTTTGCTGGGCCAATTTCTGGAGAAGGAAAAAAGAAAAAAAAAAAGCATTTTAAAGTCAGAGCCTAACAAGACATTATGGTCAATAACTGACCAATTCTGAGGCACTTGAGCCTCACAAACCTTTTTTACATTTTAAAATCATAATCATGTTAAAGAATATGCTGATTTGATTCTGTGGCTAGATTCCAGAGAACAGTTTTAACATCCTGATTCTCAAACTCCAGATTTTCTAGTTAGGACGTAATTCTTTATCCTCATTTTAATCTCCTAAATCCAAACATAAAACTCCAAACCTCTTCTAACCTGGTTTAGATGCTGTGTAACTTGGCTCAATAAGTGACCCGAATTTAATTTTTGTAAATCCTCTGAATTTCAGTGTTGAGTGCAAGATAACATTTAACTCGCTAATGAAAACCCAATTTATCCAGAAGGGGAAGAAAACAAACAAAAAAATACAGACCAGAGACCAATTCCTGAAGTGCTTTGAAAATGCACGAGGGCCTCCCAAAATGCAACTTGTTTGGTCATGTTCACCTACCAAGAGTGGATGGCTTTCCCAGCACAAAAATGGTACTACTGCAGGTGTGATTTAAGTAATTAAATTAAGGAGAACAGATCCCAACATGCTTGAAATATGACTCAGACATTTAGAGGAGAAAACCTGTCAGTCTACAACTTGTCAAACTGCTTTACTGACAAGCCTACTGACAAGCCAGAGAAAGCTGCCAAGAAGAAAGGGACCACAGGGTGTTTGTTATCTGACATCTGATTCAGAAAACAGCAAGTTACAAATTTAGCAATCAGCAATTTCAGACAACTTTATTTTACTTTACACATACCAACTCAAGCTTATAGGACTGCTCAACATATCTTAACTGATCAAGTGGTATTTACAGTGTTAAAGCTGAATGCAGCTCCTTCTAGGACAGAAGTGCTGATGTTAAAATGCAGCAGCCAAAGTTGATTGCGTAAGCAATTCATCCTGAAGGATCGTGAAACACTTTAAACTGGGAAAGCCAGGAAGTGAGACTATCTTAAATGTCTTTGAGAAGGAGGAAGATAAATCTTCAATCTCAAGCCCCTTGAGGTTCAGAATCTAACTGAAAAATACCATGACATCAGAAAACCAACAACAGATATATCCATTTTGGAGGAAGACACTTTACATCCTGTTCAGGGGTGCCAACTTTTTTGGGGAGGTGTGTGGAGAAACTTAACAGTGGATGCTGAAAAAAAATCAGACTTAAAACAGCTGCAATCTAATGAAAAGATAGTCCCATAGGTGTACATCATGTAATAGAAACTTTATCAATTTTGCCAGGGAAACTACCTGATTGCAGCTCTACCACTCCACAACTCTTGATTTATAGTCTACAGACAATGAGGATACAATTGAACAGGTTCCCCATGTCGGTCCAGGAGATTTGACTGTATGCCCCAGACACCTGATGACTAACTGGCATCTGCTACAGCCTTGTGTCACCAATAAAAACCCTTAAGATAACAGAATTTTGTTCCCCACAACAGTCCAATCCTCTTTAGAGCTTACATAAAAGATGCAAAACGTAAGAAAACTATAACACAAAGTGGCAGCACCTTTAAGTGGGCAGGATCAGTAGCTCCTTTCAGAGTCTCTTTCTGCAGGGTTGCAATGGTCGGTCGGTTGTACACTCTACCTACGAGCTCTGGAACAGTATCCAGGTGAGTTGCAATATCAAACTCTTGAACTGTAAATAAAAAGAAATTTAGGAACATACTCACATGGACTTCTCAGATTAATGTTCAGCTAACCTCCCAAACACGTGGCTTAAGGACAGACAGCGATGGAAGCCCCAGCAACACAGCACCTGCAGAACTGAGGTCTTATCTAGTAATAAGAACAGATTTCTAGAGCACCTGAATTACGTGAAAAAATAGCATTTTTTAATAACAGCATAAAGAAAGCAGCACGCTATTTTAAACAGCCTACAATAAACCACCGCAGGGTTTTTCTGATAAAACCTATTTGAAGTCTTGCCTTCTCTCTTGGTGTCCACGAAGAACACGTGCTTGTTGGGACTCTTCCCCTCGGCATCCAGCAGATGGAGCTCAGACTTCAGCCGCTCGATTTTCTGCGGAAAAAGAAACCTGTTCTGCCAAGCATCCGGAACAAGGTAAGGAATGTCTGGCTGAAGTACATTCCTCTTTGTTTTTCACACATCTGAGCTCTTCCTTCCTTTTTAGTCTTTGAAAATACAACATCTAGTCTATATTTATCGTGCATCTTCATTCGAGGTTGACAGTAATTTCCGGTAGCACCCTGCTAAATATGCACAAATCCATTTTCAAAACAGTAAGTTATCTGTATGGCAGATAAAGTAGGAATGATTGCTGTGAAATCACTAGCAAAATCATGAGGGAAAATTCAAAGCTGACTTTATCTGCAATGATGCTGTGTGGATCAATGACAGAGCATAAAACATATAAGAAGAGGGTCGTATTTCTGTTGATTCCCTGCCCACCATAGTCAAACACCCCACTGCAGTAACAATAATCTTCAGTTCTTTATAAAGATGAGAAGGAAGAGTACATGTTTAAAGTTTGGAATGTTCCTCACAAATTGTCATTTTTACAATAATGCATAATATAATTTTTACTTTTTGGTCTACCTTTAGGTGCTATATACAGAGCTCCACTGACATTTCCATCTGTCATTTGCAGCATTACACAAATCAGATTCCACTAAACAAACACAATAGCCAACAACAGGAACAAACCCACAAGAAAAAGAACACTTCTGAGCAAACTGGGAAACACTGAAGAAGTGATCACCTTGGCTTCTGCCACTCTTTTCATTTCCACGTATTTAATATCCTGTGTCCTCATCAGCTTCACCTGTTCAGGGGTCACTTCATCCTTTGGTTGCTTTATTACATGAACTCCATCCTGAAACCAGACAGAACATGTCGCTTACAGAAAGACACCATTCCAGCTAATTAGTACATTCCATTGTACTAAGGGTCCTAAGAATAAAAGCAAAAGAAACTCTTTGTCCTCTGCCCCTCATATTCTTCAGTGCCTTCCACAGGCACCAAAGCAAGTCTGCTAATACAGTTACTAATTCATAAATCAAAGACAAAACAAAGTGTATGTATCTATATAGAAAAAAATAATTCTGTTACTTAGAGCAGCAGAGTGTAAGCCTGCTTGAAGAAAACTTAAGATTCTCACCTGGAGCTCAGAACGTATCATTTTAAAGTAGAACTCATCTGGATTCTTGTCCAGAGCTTTCTTTTGAAGTGCTCTGAGGGCATTCTGTTTCTTGTGATAGTCACTGGGGAAGGAAAAAACACAAGTAGTTTCTCCATGTTCACACTCCCTGATGAGATGCTGTGTCCTTCAAAGCAATGCTCAGAGCTTTGAGACAAGCCCCAACATGTAGGGCTGGACACCAGCAAATGACTTTGGCTGAACAGTTTATTCCTTTACAAAGCTGGGCATGAACCGTGTCCAACAGCGTTAAAGGAGCACTGGAAACGTTCGCGCATTCTGCAGAGCTCACTGAGCTGATGATCTTCTGCAGAATCGGCCATTAAAATTGGAAGAGAATGCTCCAAGTTCTGCACCAACCACAACAATAACGATTTTGTGAGGCCGTCCCTCTCCCTCCGACTCCAGCACGGGGATATTTCACCGCCCGCGCGGAGGGGCCGCCGGAC